CCGTCACTTTCCACTCCCTCACCTTTCCCCTCCCTCACCTTTCCCACTCCATCACCTTTCCCCTCCATCACCTTTCCCACTCCATCACTTCCCCTCCCTCACCTTTCCCCCTCCATCACCTTTCCCACTCCATCACCTTTCCCCTCCATCACCTTTCCCCCTCCATCACCTTTCCCACTCCATCACCTTTCCCCTCCCTCCACCTTTCCCCCTCCTCACCTTTCCCACTCCATCACCTTTCCCCTCCCTCACCTTTCCCCCTCCCTCACCTTTCCCCCTCCATCACCTTTCCCCTCCCTCACCTTTCCCACTCCATCACCTTTCCCCTCCCTCACCTTTCCCCCTCCCTCACCTTTCCCACTCCATCACCTTTCCCCTCCATCACCTTTCCCACTCCATCACCTTTCCCACTCCATCACCTTTCCCACTCCATCACCTTTCCCCTCCCTCACCTTCCCCTCCCTCACCTTTCCCACTCCATCACCTTTCCCCTCCATCACCTTTCCCACTCCATCACCTTTCCCCTCCATCACCTTTCCCACTCCATCACCTTTCCCCTCCATCACCTTTCCCACTCCATCACCTTTCCCACTCCATCACCTTTCCCCTCCATCACCTTTCCCACTCCATCACCTTCCCACTCCATCACCTTTCCCACTCCATCACCTTTCCCCTCCATCACCTTTCCCACTCCATCACCTTTCCCCTCCATCACCTTTCCCCTCCATCACCTTTCCCCTCTATCACCTTTCCCACTCCATCACCTTTCCCACTCCATCACCTTTCCTCTCCATCACCTTTCCCCTCTGTCACCTTTCCCCTCTGTCACCTTTCCCCTCCATCACCTTTCCCCTCCGTCACCTTTCCCCTCCATCACCTTTCCCACTCCATCACCTTTCCCCTCCATCACCTTTCCCACTCCATCACCTTTCCCCTCCATCACCTTTCCCACTCCATCACCTTTCCACTCCGTCACCTTTCCCACTCCGTCACCTTTCCCCTCCATCACCTTTCCCCTCCATCACCTTTCCCCTCCGTCACCTTTCCACTCCGTCACCTTTCCCCTCCATCACCTTTCCTCTCCATCACCTTTCCCCTCCATCACCTTTCCCCCCCCATCACCTTTCCCCTCCGTCACCTTTCCCCTCCGTCACCTTTCCCACTCCGCCGGCCGCCACCACGTGGTTGTCCTTCACCATCACCAGGCCGCCCAGGTCGTAGTGGTGAGAGGCAGCTCCGCCCACGAGGAGCCCGTACTTCTCCGCCAGCCGGAAGCCGGGCGTGGTCTTCCGCGTGCCCGCCACCTGCCCGGCCCAGCCCGCGCCCCGGGCGGCCGCCACGGCCCTCGCCGCCTGGCTGGCCACCCCGCTGCAGCGGGCCAGCGCGTTCAGGGCCGGCCGCTCCCCCAGCAGGAGGCCGTGCGCGGGGCCGCGGACCTCGGCCACCTTGGCCACCGGCACCAGCTCTGCGCCCTCAGGGAGGAGCCAGGAGACCTGGCAGTTGACTTGGGCAAAGATGGCATCGAAGAAAGGCCGCCCGGCCAGGACGCCCGGGGACTTGGCCCACAGCGCCGCCTGCGCGGGGGCTGCCCCTGTGGCCCAGGCCGCGTAGTTGAAGCCCGGGCAGTCCTCGCGGAGCCAGCTGTCCGCCAGGGAGGCCAGCGTGGCCGGGGGCAGCAGGAGCGCCAGGCCTGGAGGGAGAGAGAGCGCGCTGTGGTCCGGCTGCCTCCCCTGTGGCCCCGGTGACCATCAAAACGCAGCTGACCCTTGAGCCATGCAGGGGTCGGGACAGCAGCCCCGAGCAATTGAAGATCCCTATATAGCTTTTTTTGTTTTCCTACATAGCTTTTTAAACAGTATTTTAATTGCCCAGCTGGCGTGGCTCAGTGATTGAGCACCGACCCCATGATTCAGGAGCTCATGGTTTGATTCCCCGTCGGGGCCCATGCCCGGGTTGCAGGCTCCATCCCCAGTGTGGGGCGCCCAGGAGGCAGCCAATGAATGATCCTCTCTCATCATTGACGTTTCTAACTCTTTCTTCCTCTCCCTTCCTCTCCGAAATCAATAAAAAAAAAGACCTTTTTAAATAAATAAATAAATAAATAAATAAATAAATAAATAAATAATATTTTTATTGATTTTTAGAGATAGAGGAAGAGAAACATGGATGCGAGAGCAGAACATTGATGGACTGCGTCCTGCACGCCCCCTACCCAGGAATCAAGGCCGAAACCCAGGCACGTGCCCTGACCAGGAATTGAACCAGCAACCTTATGGTGCACGGGATGACGCCCGATCAACTGAATCACACCTGCCAGGGCTCCCATATAGCCTTTGACTCCCCCAAAACGCCAGTTACCCCTCGGTATCGATAGGGGATTGCTTCCGGGACCCTCCCCTCACTGATACCAACCTTCATGGACGCTCAAGTCACCGCATAAAACACTGCAGATGAATGCATCCCAACCATGGCTCCAAACAGTACAAGTGTTTATTGGGGAAAAAATTGCATGTAAGGGGGCCCGTGCAGTTCAAACCCGTGTTGTTCAAGGGTCAATTCCATTTAACAACCAGCGAAATTGGGCACTAGCCAACCAGGGTGAAGCTCTGGGGGTCCCGGGAGAGGGGCTGGGGTACTGGGAGGCCCCTGTGGACTGGTCAGCGTTGCCAGATTGAGCAAATAAAAACACACACCACCTAAATTTAAATTTCTGACCAACATCAAGGATGTTTTAGTATAAATATATCCTAGGTGATACTTAGAACATACGTTTACTTTAAAGTCTCTGTTGGTGCCCTGGCCGGGTAGCTCCGTTGGTTAGAGCATTGTCCCAGTGAGCCAAGGTTTTGATCAGTCCCTGGTCAGGGCACATGTCAGAGTCAGCCAAAGACTGCATAAGTGGTGGAGCAGTAGATCAATGTCTCTCTCTCTCTCTCTCTCTCTCTCTCTCTCTCTCTGAAATCTGTAGGCTAAAAATTTAAAAATATATCTGTCGGTTATCTGAAATGCAGATTTTAACCATGTCCTGTATCTTCTCTGGCAGACTTAGCACTGGGGCAGCTGCTATGGACCAGCCAGGGGCGGAGCGAACAGCATCTCCGTCACCTGCTGCCTTCCAGTCCGCCTGGAAGACGCCAGTGAAAGACGAGCTGGGTGTCCTTCAGCCAGGCGTCTCCACGGCACAGCGCTTTGAAGCTGGAAGCACAGCGTTTTCTAGGTGCAGATGGGACAGAGAGGAAAGGCAGGTAGGCCGAGGGCCACACAAAGTGCAGCAGGTCAGACCAGCCAGGCGTTGCGGTCATGGCGCTGACCCTCTGACGTGGCCCTCTGGCGTGGAGCCCCCCTCCCCCCCCAACCTGATGTTTCAATAAACTGTCACCTATCTAGAGATGGGAGCTGTACAAGGAGGCTGTCCACAGGGACACTGGGCTTGAGCCCCTCTCTGTGGGACACAGCTGCAGGAGTGTGGCTGAGTCCTTTGCCTGTAAAATGACAGCTGTGGGCACGGCGGTTGGTCTCTGAGGTCCTTCCTGCTGTGAGTATGGGCTAACGTGCCTCCCGCCTGTTGAATGAATGTGAATGCGATGACAGCAGAGGCTCAGGCATGGGGCATCATCCCCATCTGTCGGCCAAGAGCAGATCTGCAGCCTCAGGAAGCCTCCGGAGAAGGGAGGCCAACGGGGCAGCCTGTGAGGGAGCTGGGTTGGGTTGGGCTGGGGTGGGTTGGGTTTGTTACCGCACTTTTGCCCCAAGTTGAAGTAACGCCGTGCACTCTGGCTCGCTCTACTCTCAGAGGCGGGCTCTTCTTCCCCAAAGCCAAGAGGCTGCTCTTCACCCCTCACCCCTGCCCTCAGCCACCGTCCTGCCATCCAGCCGAGGCCTCCGGCCCCACGTTCTCGCCCACGGCCGTGCCAAGTGGCCTCCGCTCCTCTCTCACAGCCAGCGGTGCCCTGGCGGGGTGCTGGGAGCAAAGCACAAGGGACAGAGACGCAGCCCCCATCTCCCCTGTTGGCATCAGTGCAGCCAGGCCAAGGCCTGGAACAAACGGCAGGAGGCAGGGCCCCGTTCCAGGCAGACTCGGTGCAGGGACATTTGCTTTTTAAAGCGAATTTGAATCTTTCCACTGGCGAGTGTCAGAGAAACAAACGGATGCCTCTGTACAGGCTGATTCATCTCTACGGTGGAACTCTACTCGGCAATGAGAGGGGAACCAGCCACCGAGGACACGCAACGGGGACCCCTCTCAAGTGTGTGGTTCTAAGGAAAGAGGCCGGTTGGAAGGGCTGCATTCTACCTGACTCATCCAGATGACATTCTGGAAACGGCAAACTCATAACCACAGAGAGGAGACGGATGTTTGCCCCGGGGTGGGGAGGGGCTGGCCAGGAAGGGGCAGCACCCGGGAGTTTTTGGATGTGATTGAACTATTCTAGATCTTGTCTGCGATAGTGGCTACACCGCTGATGCCTTCATTAAGCCGCACAGAACTTCACAGAGAAAAGGGTAAATTTCACTGTCCATGATTATAGCTCATTAAACCTGACTTGAAAGTAAAACAATAAACAAGTAAATTTGAGTGGATTACTCGCCTGTTTAAAACCCCACTTTCACCCTGGCTGGTGTGGGTCAGTGGTTGGAGCGTTGGTCCATGCACTGAAGGGTCGACGGTTCAGTTACTGGTCAAGGGCACGTACTTGGGTTGCAGGCTTGATCCCCCATCCTGGTTGGGGCACATGCGGGGAGGCGAGCAATTGATGTGTCTCTCACACCGGTGTTTCTCTTTCTCTCTCTTTCTCTCCCTCCCTCCTACTCTTTAAAAATCGATGGAAAAAGTATCCTCAGGTGAGGATTAACAACAACAAAACCCACCCTGGCCGGTGCGGCTCCGTTGGTTGACCTTTGTCCCATGCACCAAGAGGTCGCAGGTTCTATTCTCGGTCAGGGCACATGAAGGCAGCCGATCCATGTTTATCTCTCTCTGGCTCTCCCCTCCTCTCTTTCTAAAATCAATAAAAACATATATATTTTTTAAAACTCCCCACTTTCTTTTTTTTCTTTTTTAAATATATTCTACTGATTTTTTTACAGAGAGGAAGGGAGAGGGGTAGAGAGCTAGAAACATCGATGAGAGGGAAACATTGATCAGCTGCCTCCTGCACACCCCCTACTGGGGATGTGCCCGCAACCAAGGTACATGCCCTTGACCAGAATTGAACCTGGGACCCTTGAGTCTGCAGGCCGACGCTCTATCCACTGAGCCAAACCGGTTAGGGCAAAACGCCCCACTTTCACTGTATTAGCTTTAGCTCTCTTGACTTCTTTGCATTTTTAATATATTCTTTTGACAAATCTTCATTGAGCAACTGGTCAGTGCCAGGTACTAATTGGAGGTGACAGAGTGGGCAGCTGTTTCTCTTAGCTTTCAGGCCTTAGCCCAGCGTTTCTCAACCTGTGGGTCGCGACCGCTTTGGTGGGTGGAAGGACCCTTTCACAGGGGTCGCCTAAGACCATCGGGAAACACATATATAATTACATGTTGTTTTTGTGATTAATCACTATGCTTTCATTATGTTCAGTTTGTAACAATGAAAAGACATCCTGCATATCAGATATCTGCATTACGATTCATAACAGTAGCAACATTACAGTGATGAAGTAGCCACGAAAATAATTTTATGGTTGGGGGTCACCACGTGCTCACTCCGCCCCTTGCTCCTTCCCTCCCATCACCCCCCAGCCGTGTTCCCCTCTGGGGGCAAAGGTATATCTTTCCAGAGCTTCTGGCTGTGTCGCAAGTGCCTGGCACAGTGACCCAGATGAATGTGCTGCTCTGATTGGGCAAACACAGCCAAACGTTGGAAGTTTTCTGTTGCTCAGCTTCATACGAAGTGTTCAGTGACAGCCTCTCAGAGGCCACGCGGTGGAATGAATCAGAGTCTGGACTCTGGAGCCACAGGGCCTGGGCCTCAAGGTGGCTCTGCCTCCTTCAGCTAAGTGACCGGGGCCAGCGACCCACCCTCTCCGGGGCCTTAGGCTCCGCACCTGCAAGAGCGACAATGCTAATAATCCCCTCATGGAGCTGTTATAAAAATTAAGTGGGTTAATATTTGCAAAGTGCTCAGGGACACTGTCTGGCACATGGCAGGCGTGTTTGCTGAAGGAATGACTGAAGCGTTTACCGAGGTGGTGGGAGCGAGAGGCAGAAATGACTAAGTGCCCCTGGGACGGGCGGCAGTTCCAGTGGCCTTGAAGGATGAGTAACGTTTGCCAAGCAGAGGTGTGGGGGGTGGGGTGGGAGGAGGCGGGCGAGACGGTTCAGGCTGAAAGAGCAGGTGCTCAAGGCTCAGAAGCAAGAAAATAGAGAGGGAAGGACGGCCGAGTAGGGTTCGCAGGAGAAATGGTGGGAGTTGAGGCCAGAGAGAAAAAGGATTGAACTAGCTGGAGTCTGGATAGATCGCGGGAGCCGTAACGGAATTGTAAGCAAGGGAACGACATGATGGTGACTTTTTCTAGAAGGGTCACTCCAGCCATCACCTGGAGATGGGTTGGGGGCAGGAGGAGGCGCAGCCATCGGCCAGACAAAAAGAGATGCAGCCCCGAATCGGGCGGGAACCGCAGGCCTAGCGGGCGGGGGCACAGGTGGTTCCTGAGGCGGGAGGTACAGGACGCGCAGCTAATAAGATGGAAGCC